GAGAAATAAAGAGAGGGAGATGGAGAAACATAAAAGTAAAAAATTTATTTACCCTTGTATATCATCATATATAATTCTCTCTCTCACACATTTGCATGCAAGCATATCATGCACTCTCACAGAAAGAGAGACGAACTTTTGGTTTCTGTCAAGTTGGATGAACGATACGAGAATATTTAAAAGCCATGTTGTTTGATGGCAAGTTGGCACTTAAGGGGCAAGCACAGATGGTGCTTTTCAAAGCATATAGAGATACACACAAAAATGAAGACAACTAAACACAATCTGGGTACTCAGAGAGGCATGACCAATACAAAATGTACTTGTGTGGGAAAGGGGTAAAAATAGAATAGCAATATCAACTTGAGAGGAATACAGAGAAACAAATAAATGAAAACCACTAGATAATGTAGATATGGAAGTAATCAACCATAAAATGAGAACAAATGAAGCCAACGAAAAGATGCGTAGACACTGATAACTTTTATTTGTGCATGTGAACTTCAGGTGGACCAGACCTCCACCACCATCCTTCCTAGGGAAAAAAAAATGAAGTAGAATGGAAAAAAATATTGTTGAAACTATTTTTCCCTGTGAAACAAATGAGATGTAAAGCATAAAACTTCAAGATGTAAATAATCAGTATGCATGACTATGAAGTTTTTCCTTTTTACACAAACTGTTGCAATATTCTCCTCCCTCAACTTTTACCGATCTTACGTTACCCAAGTATCTTAGTCTGCATTTCTAAAAGAAGAGGTTGCTTGTACTTGTCTTTTTCATTTCATCGAGATTGGGTTGGACCATGGATCGAAAGAAAGCATTGGATGCCAAACTAGTAGTTCTACTCTTATTTGGCCCTTGTATGAGCCCCATTTTATCAAAATTCATTTTTTCAAAACTCATTTTTAACCACACATTCTCCAATCAAATAATTTTACACTTAAATTTTAAAAAAATAAAAATAAAAAATTCCTACTGTTCTAGAGTACATTTTTCCTCAAAAATGGGGCTCAAACAAAGGCTTAGTGTGAGCTCGTAGGGCATTCCCCAATGATCAAGAGTACATGTGTGTGTTCACATGCGCATGTGAAAATTAATTATGTAAAACTGTTAAACCATGTCATACACACAAATTATTGATACACAACACTTTCAAATTTTTGGAAATGACATGAATAGCACTTAGAAACCTATTGGTTGATCGCAAATTATTTTTAAACTATAAGCATGTAAACTTCATTATAAGCACGGAATTCTGAAAAATCATGGATAGCCTAAAAAATTTATCAATGAGTCATGATGCATGTAAAAGCAGCAGCAGTAGCAGCTGCATGCACTTTTGGTGTTAAAATAAATCTAAATAAAGATATGAAGCACAACACAAGCAACCATTTCATCTCATGCACAATAAAAGATCGAAAATTGATTATTTGATCGATGAATAGGTGGCTATACGAACTTTTAAAAGACAAAAAGAACAATGGAAGCAAGAAATAATTCAAGGAGAGACGCAGACGTGAAATCAAACAGTAACACATGAAATCAGATTTAAGAGCGAAAGGAACTCCATGCGAGTCTTATACACACTTGCAAATTTCATGTGGCTACTATAGTACTATGTTTGAAGTACAGTAAAGGCCATTGTAAAACTGGATTTGAGACCACCAAAAATTGTTACCTTCAATATCTTCCCAATTGATGCATCCAAGAAGTCGGGCAACGATAACAGTCGTAATGTGTGACCCTGCAGAACCACCCATCAAGGCCAAAGAACTTTCTTCGATGAAATAAAGCATAAAATAATCATTATTTTCCTCACCGTGGGGGCAGTATCAAACACTATTCGAGTAAACATATTGTATTCTTGTGATTCAAGGAATTGCATAACCTGTCAACGAAGTTCTTGAAATCAGTAAAGAAAGCAGGCAGAACTAAGTTCTCTTGCCAACAAAATGTAGTAGAACCTTTTGCTCTAAACAGAATACATGCCTTTGAAATTGCAATAGCTTCATCTAAACCAGGTGGAGGAGTGTCCAACAGCTCTCCCAGCTTTAGTTCCCCAAGCTAGACCACACAAATTCAAAAAACCACAAAACATTAGAGAGAGGCTTGTGAAGCTAACTACATCTTCATTAAGTACAAGTATATTTAGACTCCAGGCACATTTGGACACAGAGAAAAAAAGAAAAGTGATAAGATAACTGGTATGTAAAGCTAATAAGGATGAACTAAAATGCAGGAGTCAAAGTCACTAAATAACTCTGGTGTGTCAATTAACAGCAGCAAGAAGCACTTCAGGAATTATGAGGTCAAATTACTGTTTACAAGCAAGTGGGTGAAAGTAAAACGTAAAACAAAGAGAGATAGCATCGCAACTAATTTGATCAGCGGAAGACATAAAACCTTAATAATATTACAAATTGGAAGACTCGGGAATACCAGAAAAGTCAGCAAGGGATAAGAGTATGGAGTGAGTTTATTGGAAGATATTTTCACTGAGATTTGAAATACTTTCTCTTCAACCAGGATCAACAAATGGAAGTGGAAAAAAGAAAAGCTTAAATGAATTAGGTTCATTTGCAAAACTGGGTCCATACAACCTATTGGCTTGATTTCTGATTGCTAGTCATTAGCGGCCTGAAGCGGTAACAGCAGGAATTTTAGAGCAGCAGATGACTGAAGAGGTGAAACGTTCCAGGCACTAGACCTTCAACCAGAGTACCAGAAGCCAAAAAGTGTCTGTCATCTTATTCAGTTTTCTCTTAGTAACAAGGGCTCTCAGTTAGGTACAATGGGCAACTACTCCACAAGGATGCAATCACCAAAAATGAATCTAGGAACATCATGTTACAATAGCAATTCCTAAAGAAATTAGACGGTGAAGAACTTATCACTCCAGCTAGCACTTGCATTGATGTTTTGCCTCAGCATTCATATTGCGCCATTAACGAAGTTACTTGACACTATAGGTAAATCGATTTTCTGAGCAGGAAGTGAAGGTTTACATATTCATTTTAGCAGTAGATTACGCATGTAATTCAAGGAAAAAAGGTGACTACATTTATTCCCATTAATAGTAGACTATAGGACTGACAGTTCATTCCACTTCTCTGATATGCACGTATAGAGCCTTCAAGTTCTACAATGTCAAGTCCATTCTCACTAAAGGTCATCAATAGACAAATAACTCTTTTGCACAGCTTGTAAACGGATAAATGCAGAAAACAGAAGCACAACCTTGGCTAAGGATGAATAATCTAAACAGAGCACTTGCCTTTTTATCTTAATCATAGAGGGATTTTTTTTTTTAAAATTTAATTTTATTTATTTATTTTTTGCGTAGCCAGCACTAGATGAAAGCCTGATCTGCTTATACTTGAATTTAGCACACTCATTTCTGCTATTTTGATCAAGAATAAAAATAATAAGCAAATATAAGTATGCCCTGAGCATGACAAGGTTTACCTGTTCTGCAAGCATCCCAAGACCCATTCCATCCATGAAGTCTTTGACTCCACTTCCCCCATTATTCTGGCTGACACTTCGAAATTCTTCCCTCGCTTTTTCAGGGTTTATCTGCCACAATAACATATTCAGAGTTTAAGGAACAAGAAAGGACGTTTCTTTAGATCATAAAACAGTCACCATTTAGATAGCAAGACAATCATTAATAGAAACTAATATTTCTCCACACACCTCAAG